CTAAGGTTGCCTTCTATAGTAGCCCTTTAACATTCGATGGTACTCCCTGTAGCAGATTTTAAAGACCGCAGGGTAACTCCTCTAATAAGACTGAAGTACTCGAGCATATCCACTGTAGCAAGCCGTGAGAAGGAAGGATACCCGCTACAGTAACCCTTGAGCATCCAACGGTATCTCCTATGGTACGACTTAAGGATGCAAGATTACCCTTCTATAGTAGGACTTGCCGATATAAAAGCACCCTCCTATGGTAGCACTTGAGAAACCATGGGCACCCCTATAGTACGAGTTGATGTTCTAAGCGTACACCTTTAGTGGTACTTGAACACCGAAGGGTCCTCCAAAAAATATGATTTGAGGATCTTAGGATAAGCCGATAGAGGCATATGAGAATTTAAGGGCATGCATAAATGACAGCGTTGAGGATCAACGAGTACCTCTATAGGATAGCGCCTTGGCACGTATAGGTATCCCCTAGGATATTATGTTTAACTTTAAGTTCAGTTCATTTGAACAGAATTGTTTGAAAACGTTTAGTTCGCTCAAATGAGCTGTCGCACACTTCTTTCGTTCATTTGTATGGGTTCATGAGCTGAGCTGGCCAGCTCCTAATATTGACACCAATAACTACACCCCATAGTTCAAACCCTACCCACACTCGTAGCAAAATCTATTTTCATGTCACAAAAAAAAATAATCAGATCAGTTACCGATATTTTATGAAACTTGAGAATATAAGATGAAAAACAAAAATGTTTTCAAAAAACCTTGAAAAATAATATTTATGGAACTATTTCAGGGATTTCTATTGAAGACTCTAGACACATACTCACAGAATACAGTTTTCGAAGCTGAAGAAACACGTCTGAATAGTTTGTCACTGTAGTTCAATACTACATAAAGAGTGAAAGAGATGTGAAGCAAGGACCTAGGAACTGTTTAATGATAGAGTATCATTATTTTCTAGTGTTCTGGGTGGACTATCGAATTATAAAAGAATTAAACTGGTTTGAACTTATGAATGTTCATCGTGGCTGAAAAATATGCAGCACCTTTTCAGAGCTAGAAATGTTGCAACGAAATTCTCGTTGCTGTAGATTTGTCTGATCATTATTTTTTTTTGCAATTATTGCATATTTTTTTAATAACTGCACAGCTTTTTGAATGAATTTTTCTGCATCAGCGTTTATAAAATCTTTGACAACTATTCGCTGCACAAGCTTCGTGGAAAAACTAAGTTTATAGTTATAAATCTATCCCACTCATTTCGTGCCGAACTTCGAAACAACTTGCTTAGCAGAAAAACAATTACTATGATGAAATCATAATGGTATACAAGCTTACTGGTACTAATGGAAGAAAGAAAAATCTGCTAAATATTGATAAAGAAGAAATTTCTGCTGATGAGAGCGCAATTCGATAAAACTTACGTTTACTCGATGTATTTGATTGAAATTTCGCGTACTGACGACAAAGATGACACTACAATCTATCGACGTTGTTTTATGGAAGAGAAAAAACTCATCAAGACGTTTATATACATACATGAGTGAATAAACTTGCCTTGTGTGCATTCATGCGTATAAATTAAATTGTTTATCATTACATATTATAAAGACATGTTTTTTTTTGGCCGAGAAAATGTTAACTTTTTTCCTTGGTAGCTCTATCACTCATCAATCAAATGAATTGAGGATCGGAAAATGAGCATGAAATTATGGTTGGAGAAAATGTGTGCTCTACAATGGCTCTACTGGTTGTTTTCACAACATCTCACAGCATTGAAAATATACACGACGTCTTCAAACCATGGATGAAAAGTTAGCAGTCCAGGCCAGTTTTTTTGACAATGATTCTGCTGATTCACTTAGCCACTTTAACAAAACTTTAACCCTGGCATAATTTGACGAGCTAGATCGAATGATAAACTCAGATTCTCGACGGCAATTATCCAAAAAACACCCAAAGTTGCGCATGTGGGTGAAGACTAGATACACCTACGACACAACCCACATCCACACCCTTTTCTACACTCTAAAAAAAATCGGATTTTTACCGAACCCCATAAAAGGTTTCGGAGATTTCTAAAACCGTCCAAAGGTGTCAAAAGTCTCAAAAAAAGGATAAAAAATCTACGAAACCTTTAAAGATTCTTACCGTGTGCCCAGGACAAGAACCTTTTACTGCGAAACCTTTCTTAAAGTTCCGTACAGCAGAAAAAGGTTTCGTAGAAAAATACGAAACCTTTAGAGTTTCGTATTAAACTCTACGAAATCATGAAGGTTTAGTACGAAACTATTAAGGTTTAATATGAAACTCTAAAGGTTTCGTATTTTTCTACGAAACCTTTTTCTGCTGTACGGAACTTTAAAAAAGGTTTCGCAGTAAACGGTTCTTATCCTGGGCACACGGTAAGAACCTTTAAAGGTTTCGTCGATTTTTTATCCTTTTTTTGAGACTTTTGACACCTTTGGACGCTTTTAGAAATCTCCGGAACCTTTTTTGGGGGTTCGGTAAAAAACCGATTTTTTTTTAGAGTGTATCTCTACTGAGGTGGAGCAAGACATGGGTTTGCTGTTATACCATTGGATAATGTCATCTAGCTACTCTTTGCATGCTCGTCCTCTTCTGGATTTACTGTTCGTTTGTTGCGGGTAGCTTATGTTTTAGAATTTACTGTTATTTTCTTTCGAGTTTCGGTGTTTCTTTTCATATCTCTCCAGATGATTCTCGGTATTCTTCGGTATCACTTCATCTCGAATGCTACCAGATTCCTCTCATCTGCTTCTTTTAAAGTCCATGTTTCTGAAGCATATAGCAAGACATTGAACAACCACGTTCTGAGGATCCTTACTTTGCTTTCCGCTTAAAGCTTTTTACTGCTCCATACATGTTTTACAAAAGGCAGAGCTCCGATTGCTTTGCAAATTTTTTTAAAGTCCTCTTAGCATTTATTATATCATGATATCAAGCTTCCAAAGTATTCGAATTTTCCGACATTCTCGGTAATTTCGCCTACAATGTGAACTGACTTGTCAATTCTTTTCTCGCTCAATACCATCGTTTTCACTTTTCCTGCGTTCACAATTAATCCTGCTTTTTAGAACACCTGCCTTCATGTACTGGATTTCTTCCTGAATTGATTCGCATTCCGCGATTACCACGTCTATTATCATGCGCAAATTACAGATCGCTTATTATAGTTCTACTCATGTTGACTCCATGTGCATGTTCTGTTGCTGTGTCCGTTATTCTTTCAGGGTAAGAGCTGGATAGAAGTGGTGACAGGGAATCTTCTTCCCTCGTCCCTAAATTTGTTCGAAACCATTCGCCAATCTCTGGGTGTTGGTGGATATGGGTGTGGGTGTGGGTGTGGATGTGGGTGGTTGTGGCTGTGGGTGGGTGTGGCTGTGGGTGGGTGTGGGTGTGGGTATGGGTGTGAATTAATAGAAGACTTATACCTACATCCCACCCACACCCACACCCACACTCACACCCACACCCCACACCCACACCCACACCATAGCCACACCAACCCACACCCACACACCCACAACCACACCCACACCCTTTTTTTTTATCTTTTAGGTATTTGTCTCACAACAGATATGTGGAAATCTGACGCTAACCAGGCTTACATGACAGTTACAGCTCACTTTGTTGACATAAAAAATAATAAACTAAAAAGTTTCGTATTAGATACGAAGGAGTTTTCAGGATATCATGCAGCTGAACGTATTGTCGAAAGATTAAATGAAATATGCAATGATTGGTCAATTGGGGATAAAATTGTTTGTTTGGTTTCTGATAATTGCAACACTATGAAGAAAGTTGGCAAAGATTTCCAGAAAGGTTTGAATAAATTAGTATTTTAAAAGAAGATGAGTTCACATAAGAATTCAAGTTTACTTGCTGGTACTTTTTCTTGATTATTCTCATTAAATTAGGCACCAATAGAAAAAGACTATTCACATTATTATTTTGTACTGGTTTTATGAGGTAATAACTGAACTTTGAAACATAAAAACTATGAATGACGCAACGCATTTTCACTGGTCGATGTACTAATTTATCCTAATATGATAAATTATTAGATCAATCAAAGAAAAAATGTGTTTCTATATTTACATCTCTTTTGTGTCAAAATTTTATCGAAACTATATGAAACTATTTTCAAAATGATACTCTAATCAAATACTTTCTTTCATTGCATGATTGAGTGAAATTTCTCATGGAAATTCTAATGAGTGAACTTGACTCTTTATATGAATCACTCTCTCTTGCAAAAGCATTAATTGATTTAATTTAGGTTGGATTGGTTGCACTGACCATCTTATTAATTTAATAGCCAGCGATGTTCGAAATCTTGATGATGTGAGGAATATGCTTGCAACGACTCGTTATATCATTTCATTTACAAGAGATAATCATTTGGCTAAAGAGATTTTAAACAAGTATCAACGATCACTTGGTAGAAAAATATTTGATTTTCTTTTTTAACGGACAGAAACAAATCTTTACAGGTCTTGTTGAACGGCAATTAATTTTTGATGTTATAACTAGATGGAATAGTACGTCTTATATGCTTCAACGTTTTCTAGAAGAAAAAGTTTCTGTTGAAGCATGTTTAAATGAAAAACTGTTTCAGAAACATTTTTCTAATTCTAAAATTTCAAAAGTTATAGAATGGGAGTTTTTGGAACAATTATTGGTAGGATATTATTGAAATATAAAATATTGAAATTTTTTTCACTCATCGTTAGAATGTATTGAAGCCGTTTGAGGCTGCTACGAGAAAACTTGCTTCTGATTCTTTACCAACATTATCCATTGTATTACCTGTTATTACAACTTTGATAACAAGTCTTGAAAAACGAACTTCTGACTGTTCTTTTCTGAAAAAAATCAAAGATACTTTACCTCTTGGTATTGAAGAACGTTTCAAAGAAATATATGAGAATAAATTGGTATACAAAAAATAAATAGTTAAAATTTGTATAATGAAGTATTTTTCGATTTTGATATGTACAGCATTAGATCCCCGATGGAAAAATTTTGCATGCCTTCAACGATTATCCTATAAAAACCATGTTGAAGCATTATCTTTGTTGGATAAATTACAAGCATTTGAAGCTAAACAGCTTGCATATTCACTTTTACAAGAAGAATTTAATTACTTATCTCGTGGCACAACAGTTACATCTCCATCTAATTTATTTGATCGTTCAAAAGAAAAAAAAATTGATATTTTTGATATAATGATAACAAATAATTGTTTATCATCATCAAATACGTATGATTCTGAATTATTAGTATATGAGAGTGAAAGTGAACGGCATAGGAATGAAAATCCTCTCGAATGGTGGTCTAGTAATAAACAAAAATATCCAATCTTATCACAATTAGCATACAAATATTTATGTACAACAGCTATAAGTGTACCATCAGAGCGAATGTTCTCAACAACAGGTTACTTAACTTCAGACAGACGTTCGAGATTAACACCGGATAATGTCGATATTTTATTGTTTTTAAAAAAAATAGTTCAAAAAAATATCTATTGTTATTTTTAGATATTTATGGAAGCATTTATATTTTTTTTGTATTATTGATTAGTATTGAACCATTACAGAAATTGTGATGAAAGAAATATATGAAATTCATTTCATAACTAACTGATTGTTAGCAGTTAATCAAAAGTCAAGTGTTACTTTACCTGAATATACTCAAATATAGAGAAAAATGTTCTACTAATAGTTGTGGATGAAGACTAGTCGTATTTACTCATATATAACACTAAAGACTGAGTGCACTTAGGGGTGTATTGAGACCGAGAATCTCGACGCATCCCTAAGTACAATCTTTGTTTAAGAAAAAAAAACAAAATAATGAATATGAACACTTCGAAAAACAGCTGGTTGTAATAACTCGACCATATAATTATGATCCTGTTAGTTTCGCACGATGTTACCTGTAGACAAGTTTGGCTCCATCCAAAAAAAGCTATTGAAAATGTATTACTTCTTATGTACTTTATCGAAATCTTAATAAAAATATAACTAAGATACAGAAGAAACCAATGGGGAAAAGGCGGATTTTGAATTTTCGGATTTGTTTGGGATTTTTCGGATTTTTCGGATATCGATAATCCCAAAATCCATCACCAGTGCCCTGTTGCAAATAGAGGAATTTCGAGCTGGAATTTTTGCCGTATTTAGGCCTCGTGGTTCTTAAAATATTCTAGAAGTTTCAGCGCAAATTGATGTTTTCTTCTGAAGATAATGTGATCGCAAGAAATACTCATATTTCACACCTCGGTCAGAAAATCCACTTTTCTTAGAAATTGATTATCTTGAGAAGAAAATATCTGTTTGCAATGAAACTTTTAGGATATTTTAAGGACTGCAAGGTCTACATACGATGAAAATTTCAGCTCGAAATTCCTTCATTTATGACAGGACATTGCTGATGGATTTGGAGATTTTCTGGAGTTTTTGGGACTCTTCATGGATTGGCAACCCCGCAAATCCGCCTTTCCCATTTACTTCAGGAACAATTGATAGTAAGATAATTTCAGAAAACTCTTGAAAAATATCTTGAAGAACATGATTGTTGTTCACGGGTGGCGATGGTTTTAATCATTTAGATTTTAATGTATGTTCTTTAAGACGTTCTTCGTTTTTTTGATAGAGAAGTTGATAAAAGTATCGAATACTACCACGACAACTTGTTTTTACTGGGTAACTATGATCATCGGCTTCAAAGCAAACAAGTCTTTTAATGTCGTTTAGGGACAAGCATGAAATCGAAAGAATAGCTATTAGAGGTTCACTTTATTCGAAGCGATACCCATCTCGCAAGCGAGATGAGAGAGCAATATATAGGAGAGAATAAAGCATCAAGGAATTCGACTCGAATAAGCACGTACCGCAAAGAACGAAGTGAGTCAAGATATGTAAACATATGACTGTAACAATAGCAAATACATGTTCCATATTGAGAAACGAATATACGCTTCAAATTGCTTGAGCTTCTAGTAATTTAGCTTCGACTGATCCGGCGTCTTTTTCAACCACTTTGTAAAAATCTGCGTCGCAAAAACGAAAGTATACTCAAGCAGACAAATATTTTCAAAAATGCGTTTAAATGCATGAAAAAGTGCCATTAAAATATAAAAAGTAGACGTTTTTTTGCTCACAATCGCGGTCCCCGACTGTGAGCAAAAAACACCCATTTTTTCCCCTCTTTATGCGTTTAAACGCGTTTTCAGCGAGAACACGATTGTAAAAGCGTATGAACGCATAAAAAGAACACTAAACGCACAAAGAAGGGGGAAAATTGGTGTTTTTCGCTCACAGTCGGGGACCGCGATTGTGAGCAAAAAACATCTACTTTTTCTATTTTAATGGCACTTTTTCATGCGTTTAAACGCATTTTTGAAAATATTTGTCTGCTTGGGTATCAGCCGGTTAGATGGAAATGTCAAAAGAAAGGTTCTGAAGAGACATTTATAAATATTAGATTCAGAATGAAGAGAAATATCATCAACATCTCATTGAAATAATTTTAATTTTGAAAATATTGAGATAGAAAAATATATCCTCTCTTTGAAGGATGCATCTAAAGAAAAATATAACTCTTTGCGTTTCTTGATTTTCCAGCTGGAACACTCAAGCACTCTTGGTGGTATCGAACATTAGTATTTTAACCTTTGTCGATGAATTAACATCACCAGTGTCTTTATTCGAGTACCACACCCTCGATAAATAATGGAACACGCAGAGAAATACATTAATCGTTCAATTTTATTTATCAACAATAGCCTAAGCACATATCTGATATTAGATTTCATTTTGATGAAATAGTGCTACTATTCGGTATACTGTCTTTATCAAACTATAAGTTTTAAAACACGAGGAGATTGAATGAACACTATTTTTATAAGAAAAAGTCGGATAATCGTAGGATTGCACTTATTCGTGTATTGTTGTCCTTTAAAACAATCATAAAATCCTAATCATTTCAATCTTAACTCTGGGATTCACATGGGATTTTTGGGATTTTCATGAGATTTTTGGGATTTTTATGAGATTTTTAGGATTATGTGGGATTTTTCGGATTCTCATGGGATTTTCGGATTCTCATAATATTTTTGAGATTTCTCGGAGTTTTATTGGGATTCAAAATCCTGAAAATCCGCCTTTTCCCCCTTGGAAGAAACCCTTTTATTCCTTATTATTTAAGAGGTACAATATGAGAAAAATATTATTTCGAGAACAGAAAATCATTGATTACTGTTGTTTTATGTTAAGTAGCAAACTCCGAATAAAATATAGACTGCTATGCTCGAATCATTTCTTTCGTATTCGTCTCATTTTCGATATATATCATAACACGTAATGAACGTCTGGCGTTCATTACGCCGTTTAATTTATAACTTTTCTTTCGTTCTGTCGCTTCCCTTACGACTCTTTTCGTTTACATTACGACTTTTTTTTTCTGTTCTGTTATGACTTACGACGATATGACAATGAACGTATAGCACACGAAAATAATTTCGACGAAAATCGACGCCTATGTACTAATTTGTTGTTTAATTTCCATTATGCACAGACTTAATTTTAACCAGGCGAAACTATATCCAATATATTCGAAAGAGCAATCTCTATCACTAGTTCAATTTTGCTTGACACATATACTTGTAAAGAGCATGAAGCTCTAATTCTATTTGACTACTTTGGATTGTCTCTTGCAACCTTTAACTGAAAGAAAATTAAATACATTTTTTTTGCATAGACTTTTTTATACGTCTATTACATAGATACTCTTATCGTAGCACTTCCAATGGAGTTTTATTCGATGTAAATAGAAGAAACAAAAAGTCTTATCTTAATAAGAAGAACATAAATGCAAAATTACTCTAACCTTCTGACGACAAGACTTTTATTTTTTTTAATCTCATTGACTATTCGAACAAAATCGTTAAAAATATTAACATCGAAGATAAATACTCAAATAACTTGAAAAAGAGATAATTTCTTGCATCAGAAAATCGAGTTAGTAACAGCATTTGAGAATATATAAAGACATGGACCTATTAAAAAACATTGCATATCAATTTTAGTTTGATTAAGCAACTAGATAAGTCACATAGGTAACAAAGAACACGTTGTTATATATATATAAAACACTCGCTGCATTTTATCCGATATCGTAGAAGAAATGTGCTACTCAACGAGATGATATTTCGAACAACACTGTCTCGGTACTTCCTGAAGGCTTAATCTACTAACAAATCGTGATTGTAGTTATATAATGTAGGATATATATGAGAAAAAAAAAGAAAACTTAAATTTCTGGTTAGTTTTGAGCTCTTGAGATATTTGAATATCACAAATTAGATAAGTTTTTTGAATAGACTGAAAAGGTGTTCTTTACTCACATCCGCATTCATCTGTAGGGTTTTCAACACTTGAGAAATATTATTATACGCACCGTACTTTTTTTTTTACGATATATTTAAAATTTAAATAATCTCATTTGAGAAAGAATAAAATCTCGTTCTCTATTAGTGTTATGATTTTTTTCCTGTTCAATTAAAGTTTCCTATAATGACTGACGTCAAAATTCAGTCATTATATACGCGTGCATCGACAAAGGTATGTATGTATGACGACTATGCCTTTTTAATTTAATGCTGTCTATGACCTGTTAAGTTATTGCTAGTAGTTAATCGAAAAAAAAACAATCTAAAATTACTTTTCTTTCGATTTGATAGATTTCTCGTACGATGCAAACTCTTATGACTCATGTAAAAAAACAGTTGAATAATGATTCATTGAAAACAAGTTTGGTATCACCATCATTGAATTCAAATGTTGAACATGGATTTCGTCAAATTCAATTACCTGAAACAAAAATGGGTATTGGATCAACAGAAGGTGATTTAGTTGTTATAGTGAAAAAATGTTTGGAAATTTCTGGTCTTGTCTTTTTCGTTTGGTTACTTGGTAAGTGAAAAAACATTCTTTAAGGATTTTCATTTTAAACTGTTTTTTTTTCTAGTTTTCTGAGAACGAGAGAAAATTTTCACATGTATTATCAGTTTCCAAAGCTAACTTACTAAATAGTTTTTTTGGATCGGAATAAATTAAGGAAAATCATGGTTTACAATAAATTGATTTAAATTAAGTTGATGCTCGGCTATTTTCAAAACTGTAAGCTTCAACGTAGTGAAACCTTTAAATTTTAACTTGTTTGGAAAACAAAAAAAAAATTCCTTTACTTGAAAAATTACTCCACAAAAAAAATTGTATATTGTCTTACTGATAGATAATAAATACGTTTCGACAATCTTTTATAAATTTAATGTTGTAAAACTAATAAGAAAATAATTTAAATAAACCAAACTACACTTGTTTGACCTTGGTTTTTTTAGGATATTTTCATTTCAATGCATCATGGATTTTACTAATCGTATTTATATATATATTTCGAAAAGGTGAACGTACTCAATTTCTATTAGGCCATAAAATGTTAGAAGAAATAAATAGAAATGAAGAACAATATACTA